CGCTATTCACCGGTCATCGTGCTGGGAGGGTAAGAGCGGCCCTGGTGGCGTGATAGACAGCCACTGGCTCCGCAAACGTGAGGTGCGGGTTCAAGTCCCGCCAATGGATTGAGAGCGGACGCGGCGTTTCCTACCAGTAGTTATTTTATACTAAAACTCGGTAGAAAACTTAGCCGCAGAAGGGCTCATTTCACTCCCCTTAACTCCGCCGCGCCAAGTGGTTGACTGAACGACGATATCAGCTCTAGACCTTTCCAGCAGCCAGATTTGCCCCTACGTCTTATGAGCTTGCCCACAACTTTAATTCAAACTCTAACTCACCTTGATATACGATGAAAATCCTGTCTTGAGCAGGGCAATCCCTCCATCGACCCGACTGAGGAGAGAATACAGTCGTGACACATCACTCACACGATTGTCGTTCAGTAACAACGAGAGACCTAAGAATTTTCTTCAAACATACCGAATGAGAGGAAATTCGATAGAAAGAAGCTCACCATTGTCTACGACTTCCTGCATATGATCACTTATAAGGCATTTTTCAGCTCTCGTCAACAGCGGCGTTCGAGTGCTTTCGTCAAGGTAAAGATCGACTCGCTCATTTTCTTCTTTGATTCGACGTTCAACGTGTAACAAAAATCAACAGTCTATAAAATTAGCAATTGCCGCATGTTTCGCTTTTCAGTCAATCATTGATGCTACTGATTCGGCCTTCAATGAAAGCCCTAGCACTGGAAAAGAGAAAAATAAGTCACTCATGAAGATGGTCCAGTTCAATCCACCCCACCCGGAGTTGCAGCAAGACTTTCATTTCCTCAAGACTCTCTAAGAACTAGCTGGCTAGGAACAACTCACCCAAAAGGAGTCGCTTTTTTATGAAGCACTGAAGAAATTGCAAAACCTCGCGAAGCAAAGTGACCCCACGGGCTTTTCACCTTCACTTTATTAGTCCCCCAAAACTCTGCCGTACTCACAAGACGTGAACGTAAAGTATGAACGCACTTTAAAAGATGAACTTTCTGTGAAAACCACGTACCTCAAGGGACCGAACCAATGACATACTTTCATGAGTATAATGAACGCTCGTGCTTGAAAGGAATTCATCTTCGAAAGCCTGAAGTAAGAAAAACCTCAAAATCATACAGTAGGTACAGTACATTAGTGAACTCAAAATATTTTTAAGCGGGAGCAAAAACACAGGTGACAAGTACTTCGTATAAGTATAGCGAAAATACACAATTTGAGTGTACCGCATGGCGCCGTCTGCCTTATGTTAGAGCGCAACACTAGAGCTGTATCGATCGAGCGATCGATTCAATTTTCAGAGCATAAGGGTAAGGAAACTAGGCAAAAAAGGCAAAAACTAGAAACAGATTGGGCCATTATGAAAACGAGGTCTGAATATCAGCGAAATATGTCTCATCCTTGTGACGCATCGGATCTCATAAAAAAGGTAGGGTTCATTTATCACTACCGTCAAAAATCCTTTGAAAAATCCTGAACTTTGCCTGTATGTGTTGCTCAGGATCCCCTTTTCGATGTGGACGCCACTACACGCCGATTCGCCTTATAATCATCTTCACCCATATCAGTAAATCGGCACAGCGGGGTTTCTTCCTGCGGACGTTCTAATCACGGATATGACGTTCATTTTCGGCGCCGCTGCTAGTGTAGGATCCTCTGGCCGTCCGCACAGCTCCCGTTGGAGGCCTGACCGGATGGATCACTTTCAGACCCAAGTTCTAACCTCGGCAGAGCGCATGGTGCTAGCGCCGGAAAAAGAATGCACTGTTCGTAATTAGGACCCAAATTGATAGAATGTAAAAATTTGGTGGCTGAAGTCGAGGCGCCATGTCGGAATTCAGCGCTAAATGTTGCCCACACTAGAGATGGACGCCTTATTCGTTAATCAGGGGCGGCCAGAAATTCGGAGGCGTTAGAGGTTATTCAGATGGCTGCTTAGCTCTCAAAAGATGCTTCAGGTCCTGGCTTTTTCTGGCGCTGACATCTCCTTCAGTAAAATTGCCACATGCTTAACCACACTCTATGAGCACGTAGCGACTTTGGTGAAGGAGGTGCCAGTGCTACAAGTAACCGGAACCTAAAACGAATGTCTTATTTAAGATCAGGGCATTCAATAACCCCTATGGCCGAAGTTTCAGCAGAGAAGTTTGATAGCCTAGTAAAGTAATATTTAAATATTGTCTGAAAACATTCGAAAATTTGAACAGCATAAACTCGCTCAATCCGTACTCACTGTGCTCGAGGAGCAAGCAAACGTAAGCAACAGCGCAAAAAAAGTTTAGCAGAAAATTAGTGAAAAACTTGGAGCGACGATAAGGTTTACCTGTTTATATAAATCAAGTGTTCGCAACATTCGAAGGAGAGCTCGCAATAAATAACGATCCACCTGCAACAGAAATGGTTGACCGAAAAGTTCCTAATCAAGCAGTTCAATGGTGAACAACACCGAAGTGTAGAACTCCCACTTGAGCCTAACCTCAGAGACTTGGTCCCGAGGGAAATATTTCGCGTATATCCCCAGGGCTATTTTCATACTTTGCGCCTCGGCGTTCTGAGCGAAAAGGATAATATATGTATCGATCGGCACTGGGAAGCTGGTGTTTTTGGAAAAGCAGCGCTTCGAACTTTTTTCTTTGTGAACCGGGTGTCGATCAATAACTGTGCTTTCTCTTCGCTCGAGACACTGAGCCAGAATGCGGAGTAGCCAACTATGAACGCTGTCTAAGCGCCGCTCCTTTTAATCAGATATTAATTGTAGTTTGATAGTTCTAGAGTGCCTATATCAGTTAGTTAGCGTCTTCTACCACAGCGAAAGTGAAGATCTTCTACGACAGAAGTGAGCTGCTTTTCAGCTTATCCCTGTCTCACAGGGGCTTAGAGGCAAGAAAATCAAAGTTACCTGATCTCCAGCCCTTTCTTCGGCAACTCTATCTAAAATTCCAGAGACCAACTTTTTCAGTACACTGCCATGCAGTATAATTTCCTCACGAAAAATTACCAAAGATGACTCCCTTAAAATCATACAATAATAACAAAAAGTCAAAATGCCCACTCCATAAAAAAAACTGCAAAAACGTACCAAATGGGTGATTCGTCAATGTTTTCTAGAATGAAAGTTCTATCAAGGTATAAGAATACGTTACGAATAAGAATCTGAAAAAAATGAGCACCATAGGTTGTCGAGCAAGATTTCGTTTTCGTCATATGAGGCTGATCGAGAAGGTTATGCGACTCTTCTAACAATATGTTTAAAAAAATCGAACCGCGTTCCTTTTTGACCCCTGATAGAAGAAATGACCGAGCAGAAGAAACTCCACGCCGAAACTGCAGTCAAATTGTCGCAGGACTTTCCGATCAACCTTATCAACATAGCAAACGTTACCATTTGTTCACAATAATCACTCCAAAGATTCTCTATCGCCTTCATAAACTCCACTCCACCAGCTACGCACTTTTCACTCAATTCGTTCCTTGAACATGGAGGTTGAGTATTAATTAGCGAGTTAATTTATGCCTCCACTATAATCAAAGATGATATTTACCCTTCACTGCCCACCTTTCGGAATTCGCGTTGAAGCGCGTTTCATATCTTCGCGCCAGGACAGCTCGAGTGTGTTTGAATCGCGCGATCGAACCGAGAGTATGAACGCGCTCTTAATCCAGACTCTTTTCCAGGTAATGACACTGGCGAGAGTTCTGCCTCCAGTGGAATACTGACCTACTCCCCGACTACTACTATACCCGAATATCACATGTTTCTGACGTGTAAACACTCGATTTCGGTACCAAGGGAGGGGGGGCTCAGAATGGAGAAATAAGGATAAAGGATAAAGTCTTCGCCGTTGATCAATCCCTTTGTGGGATGCGGCACGCATTCTACTTCCATTCAGAATCGTAGTGGCTTATTGAATGCGATGTGGCCTATACAATGACTTGCGGTGGCCAGCCGATGTACAAGTCAGTGTTTTATCCTCCCAGACGAATCTGGTACCAATTTACCGTCCCCGGAGGGTAGAAGGCTTGGTTGGCCTGGGCGGGTGTCGACCCGGGATTCGAACCCGGCGCCGCGCGAGTGGTAAGCGCGCCACTTGTCACTACACCACCTCCGCCTCACGGAGAAATTAGTCGGGGAAAAAACATGTTCGAGATTTGGTGCTTGAGATCGGAAAACGGAGCAGTGATGGATAAAAAGTACCAAAGTAAGTTATAACAACCAAGGCATAAGAAAACGTTTCAACAGCATATCGAAAGGGTTTCGTACCTAAATCGACCAATCCACTTGCGGATATTGTCCAACAGCTTGTCATATGTGGTTCTTGCCATTTTATTTTCACACAACGATTCCACCACCTAGACTGTGAAAGCTAACAAAATGATACGACGGTTGATAAAAACAGATTTACTTTATACAGCTGTTCCAAGTTCGTAGTGACATGTTGTTTAGTCTGAATAGCATTTATGCTCGCTTCGAGAGTAAGCCATCCAGTTGCCATCAAATCGGCTATGTCGTCATTCTTTCCTGTAAAAATTGTAATCATAATGAATATCAATCGGTAGGGCGGGAATTGAGATCGGCGCGCTAATTCTGGGAGACAGACAAGACCACCGTAAGTTGTCGCCCGCGGCATATCGCGCGGCGAGTTCTGGTTATGTCTTAGTTTTTCTCTTGGAGCACCGCAACTCGTATGTTCTCAAGCGGAGACGACTCTCCATGACGGGTGCTACGATGACGGGTACATCTTCCAATTTCTCCAACGCTCAAATTCAAACAAACAGGAACGACAACACGTCCGTGGGGCGCGGCGCCGCTCGCCACGCCCACCAGCGCAGCAAATTAAGACTGTCTTGACATACACCCGCTAGGTCCAGCTTGGTGACATCTGATGCAACGTTACAGCTCATTTTGTGTACCCTCGCAATTATTTCGATACATTCTAGACTAGCCTTAAGGTGACTGCATTGCATTGATTTGCAATGCAGCGTGCAGACGTTGAAGACAAAAAATTCTGGAAGGATATCCTCAAGAAACTTGTCGGCGTCCAGTGCGTTAAATACTAGGCAATGAAAGTAATCTATCAATCTCTCTGCGTAAAAATCATAGGCGTTCCAGATAAGGCTGTGCTCATAGTTTTCGTAGGCATTCTGAGCGTTTCGTGCGAAGATGAAAGAAAAGGTATTGATCGGCGCTCGGAACGTTCTAGACCGTCGGCCGATACCTATACTTTCCTTCCACTCAAAACTACAGTTCCTTCCATAACGCTTAGAACGCTCAAAACAGTGGCACCAGTGGCGTTTTTAAAGAAACGAGATTTATACCTACACTTTTCTTTTGGCCCAAAACGCCGAACGCCGCGAATAACTATTGGATGCAGCTGTAAGTACCGATAAAATAAGACGAAATCTCCACTGCGGACTTACTTCGGAAGTTCTTAATCGTGAGCTTTTTCACTGTAGGCAATCCTCGAGAAATCTGTCGTGCTGCCCTTGAATCCACCTATAAGGAGCAATATTAATTGTGAAAATAATGGCTAACACCCAAATACACAAACAACGAAGAAAAACAATGCTGCCAGATGGATCTATGAGCTGAACCTCCCATTATAGGTCATCTGGGCGAAACTCCCGGATAAACTTGAGACTAACCATATTCTCATTCGTATCCTCTCGTTCCTTCTCATTATCGAATTGCTCTACATTGGGGCCATCAATAAGTTGTTCAAAATATACTCGGTTCGCCTTCGCCAAACACTTGCCGGTACATCTCAGCCGATTCCTCGTCACTCATCACCTCATCGCTCAGATCGGACATCTTCGATCGCTTTGACTGGATCTGAAAACCGAAAATATCAATTTCGACCATAAAATGTGGTGTCCTGGTGCAATAGGGTAGATGTTCTTCAAACAATTCGCAAAGCGACTCATTCACGTCACGTGACGTGATTTACAACGGACGGCATCAACGGTCAGTGCTGAAACAACGCTGCTGACAGCATAATTAACTCTTCACTAAACCTGTTTCACTTTGAACGCACTACAAGTCCAATCTCAATAATGCTTTTGTGCCGGGCCAAGGAGGGCAAGAGAACTTATTATCCTCGCGATAGACAAACAAAACAACCTTAGCATGATAAAATCAAAGCACAAATAAAAAAAACAAGCCAACCAAATCGCTCATAAACAGCCTAATAAAACGCATTTGCATTCATTTTCAAAGTGCAAACGTATACACTTTGGTGCACTTTTAAACCAGATCTACGCTACGTTCCCAGTACAAGTACATCATTAATGTAAATGCATTAATTTCAATTAGAAAGCGTGCGAAACGGATAGAAAATTCGATAACGAGCCGCGTGTTAGGACGGGCTATTGAACTTGAGGTTTGATGTTCTTGAAGTTCGTTTGTTTGTCAATTGTAGCGCAAAGAGCAACTCGCAATGAAAACAATTTGCTGCAGGAGAAATGTACTCTTCAGCCTCAGCTGAAAAATTTGTGCAGAGAAATGTACTCTTTCACCTCAGGCTGAAACAGCTGAGGTTATACCGTGCATAAATCTATCCTGGGGATTTCAACAGTTTGGGAGGGCACTGCCATACTCAGCGACTGAGAGAACTATGCAGCGGCAGAAGCAAGTGTTTCGAAGCTGTTTTTTATTATGATAGCTGTTGTTCATAGGCACAGTTCGCGCTCTGAAAGTTGTCACAAGGATGGTGAGTGATGGGTGGAGATGTTAACCTCAACATCTTACGGGACTCAAACGCGCACCTCATGTTTTCCAGGCGAGTTGAGCCTCCTTTTAGAGTGTGTTCTTGCTTTCCATCAGCGTTTTGGGATACGGCAGCGCTTTGAGCAATTAGGAAAGTATGGGTATTGATCTAGCGCTTTCATCGTATGCCATGGTTCCCATCGTTTCGCAGGTAGTTTTGAGCTTTTCGCGGGTAGTTGCAGAATACTGAATCAATCAGCTCTACAAGCCTCGGGACATATTGATATTCGAGCGCTAACGTAGTTGGGAGGGGCCACGCGGCTCGCGGCGAGCGATGACTCATCTGCTCTTCTGCTCCCTCCTCGGCAAAATAGAAGTAATTTCGTGTTTAGGACATGAATATAACTTCGCCCTAGCTATATTCAAAAGTTTTAGGCTGCAAGGTTCTTGCCTAAACTACAAAATTTTGTTGCATGTTTGTCGTTGACTGTTATTGTTGACTACAAAAATCAAATTTTTAGCTTCTGTGGAATTCTTCAGCAAGTTCCCGGTGAATCTTGTTTGTTTTATTCTGATTTGGCTGCTAGATTCGCGTTTCAAGTATGCCGATGAGTGAAGAGCCGATGAGTCATCACTCGCCGCGAGCCGCGTGGCCCCACAAGAAGCTAACTTCAGTATTACCGCCACGGTACCGTAACCCAAAGCGGCGCCCAATTGATTGTAACTCCGCAGCGGACCTACGTATAACACCGTGCTTTACACCAGTACCACTATGACGTGTTGAAATCGTCTCAGGGCACATGTCAACCGGAAGGCTTCTCCCCTCCTTCCTTCTTTTTCTTCCTTCCTTCTCTGATCCCTCCTCCTTTACCTTCCCCTTCAACTGCTGGACTGGTAGATGCCCCGTGAAATTAGCCCTGGACCCTCGCAGCGAGAGATCGTCTGGTTGACATCTGCCCCGTAACCTGTTGAAATACTTGCCCATAATGCATTGCTCAAGGATGGACAGAAACTTCGTGCACATTCACTTGAGCTTTCTTTCGTCTCGACATAGAGGTTCTACATTTTGGGCATATGCGCAGCGTTACGTACATTTAGCTTACTACACTTACAACGCTTGTTTCTATTAGGTTGTTGCATAAGTTCTTATACCCGACTTTTTTGTAAATATCTCAATAGCGAACCAGCCTGGAAGATTAGAGGTATGCACCATCAAC